AAAATAGGGGTTTATTTACTGCTCTAGGTTTTGAAGAAAGTGAGCAGATTCTGTGGCCTTCCATGGAAGGGTAGTTTCCCACTTTGGACATTTAATAAATCTCCATTTTAAAGCTTCCATCTTCATTGTATTTTATAATCATTTGTATGTAGCTGTGGATTTAGGAACCCTTTTTCCTACTTCTTCCCATTTCCATGATTTAAAACTAGATTTTTCCCTTCTAAAACTAGAAAAAAGTGATTAAGCTTAGTATAGATTCACAAGCATCATCAGCAGTTCATGAAAATAAACAGTCATTGATATATATATGCTATTATGAGGTGTAGGAGGTAAGAGTGGTTACTAGAGATTTAAGATAAAGGGATATCTTTCCATATAGTACAAACTTCTTTTTTTTTTTTTTTAAGATTTTATTTATTTATTTGACAGAGAGAGATAGCGAGAGAAGGAACACAAGCAGGGGGAGTGGGGGAGGGAGAAGCAGGCTTCCTGCTGAGCAGGGAGCCTGATGCGGGGCTCGATCCCAAGACCCTGAGATCATGACCTTAGCTGGAGGCAGACACTTAACAACTGAGCCACCCAGGCACCCTTTTAAAAAAATTATTGTAGCCCAGAATTCATAAGCTGCATTAGTATGCAAAGATTCCAGGCTTTGCTAAGGTAGCCAGAGCTACTTTTAATGACTTTTGAGTTAATGACTTTGAGTTAAGCAGTACTTTGGGAATTGGGCTCCTTACCTATATAAAAAAGTAATAAATCAGGGCCAAAGGAAAGCTTACCTGAAGTGGTAGACATGATCAGGAATATATGTGGTCGAAAAGAATCTCTGAATTTTAATAAAAGAGGTAATTCATTCCAATATTTCTGCAAAATGATAGCTTTAGTCAAAATCTCGAAACATAATGGAACATGTGAAAAGGAAGAAAGGGTATGAACTTTTTATAAGGTTAGTGGCTCCACACATTTTAACGTATATATCATTCTGGCATATGTAGAAATCTGTGTTTACATAAATAACATAGCTTATTCATGTAGTCATTTTGGTTTGGAAATTATTAGCCGAAAAGCTAATAAATGGTCTTGCATATGCTTCTTATTTCTTCAAAAGAGAGGATAAGTATCCATCTTTTGCTAATAAGCTGTTTTAGTGTCTGATGATGGAATAATACCAACTTTACTAAATATTTATTACAAACATAAAACATTTTTTGGTTTTAAGAAGTGTCTTTTAATTGGTGGAAAATGGCCTATTTTTAAGTCTTGATGTATATATAGAGAATAAGGATTACAGTATATATTATACTTTGGATGACTTTATGTCAATGAATGTTATGAAAGTTCTGATGTTTTGTTTAACGTGGAAGATAGGTTTAGGAATTCTTGCTGCAGTTTGCTTAACTTTTATGGAGTAACTAAAATATTAAAATACCATCCATTATTTCGACTTGTTAATTTGGTAATGTTTTGGCTGGCAGATTCTTCCATTTCATTGATGATGTTAATGTATCACTTTAAATAGCTGAAAGTTTATTTTAAAGTATCTTATCCTTTTTTTTTACTTGTTTAGTAAATCAAGTTAGTTGGTTTATCTCAAAAGAGGTTCACTAGAAAATTGATATGAATTAATATGTAATGATCATAAATGTCAATAAGTAAATGTTGAGAAAGACTAGTAATAAAATAATTGATTCACTAAAGACAAAGCCAAATGCATTGTTCTCCCCACACCTCCTCTCCCAGGGTAGTCACCAGTTTTTGCCATTTGGTATAATTTTTTGCTAATCTCTTCAATGAGGATCCTCCTACTTAGTCATCTGTTAAGTGGTTATATGACATTGTAAGAGAGGTGTAATATGTTAAATCTGAGTAGAGAATGTCTGACATTTGATGCTTTATTTTTTTAATAAAGAATAAAGATTAAAGAATAAAGATTAAAACTGATCTAGGAGTTGGAAGATATCTGAGTTCTCGTTCTTAGTTATGTCACTGGGAAAACTGCTTAAATTTCTTAAGACTTAAGTTTTGGGATGCCTGGGTGGCTCAGTTGGTTAAGTCAAGTCATGATCCTGGGGTCCTGGGATCGAGCCGCAGGTTGGGCTCCCTGCTTAGAGGGGAGTCTGCTTCTCCCTCTCCCTCTGCCCCTACCCCACCCCCATTTTGGCTCTCTCTCAGATAAATAAATAAAATCTTTAAAAAAAGACTTGAGTTTCTTTATCTGAAATGAAGAGATTGATTAGATGAAGCATCAGGCATTTCTATTTTTTGTTTTGTTTTTGATTTTTTTTTTACTTACTTATTCATTTGAGAGAGAGAGCATGAGCAGGGGGAGGTGCAGAGGCAGAGGGAGAAGCAGGCTCCCTGCTGAGCAGGGAGCTGGATGTGGGACTCCATCCCAGGACTCTGGGATCATGACCTGAGCCGAAGGCAGAGGCTTAACCATCTGAGCCACCCAGGAGCCCTGCATCACACGTTTCAAATTGGTAGTCTAAGGGCCAAAGCAGATACAATTTATGTGGACAACTCAGTCCAGCATAACTGTTTACATTTTGTGTCTTTATGTATGATGTTCTTTTTCCTACTGGTTACAGTCTCCAAAACTTCCTGCTCCTTGACAACACGACTTCCTGCTCCTTGACATCGTGTTCCTTACATGTTTACATAATCCCTTTGGCCCTTGTAGGCATTCAACTTGGAATCCTTGGACTAGATGTCACTCCTAATTTTCAAAAGATTCTTGATATTTTCTATGCTATGACAGCAACTAACAGAACACTTAGTCATCATTCAAGCATGTTATTAAAGACCTGTACACTGTTCCTTAATTTTCAGGGGGAAAATGCTTTATTTTCTTTCTTCTTGATCGTGAAGTTGCAGAGAGAGAATTGGCAGATTGTATTCAACGCACTAATTAGAGCATCAGATTTTTCTTTCTTACTGTATAGAATTTGTTGAACAACTGCTGTAAAGCTGTAAATTTTGTGACTTGAGGTATTCACACTATAGAGGCCCTGGCGTCTTGCTGTGGAACTGTCCTGCCGCCTTGTCTGGGACAGCCAGATGTTACCCTTCTCTCCTTCCCAAATCTGGTGACTGAGCCAATGCCAGCACATCGCTGGGATCAATAGATACCATTTTAATACACCGTTTTGACAGTTTCAGTAATCAACCAAATGAATTTGTAAAATGGATAAGCAGCAAGCATGGGCCCAGCCCATTTATTTATTTCTGTAATTAAGACATTTGCTCTTCACTTGTTACAGTAGTTATCATAGAGGTATTCGGTCCTTGGCTTTATATGCTGTCATGTTCATTCATCTAAAGATACTGGTACGAATGCTCTGCAAGTGTCATTAGGAAAGGAGATTTAGGAAGGGGACCACGTGCATAAGCGATAACTAAAAATAATAATTTACATGTAAAGTAATGAGTTTAAGGTAAGTCCATGATTGAGCTAGACTGCTAATGTTTTTTAGGTTGGTTTTTAATAATAGAAACAGTATGTGATGCAGTGTAAGCACACAGGCATTGTTTCTGGTAGGATGCTTTGGCCTAGTCAAAAATATTGAGACTTATTTTTCAATATACAGTACATATTTTTTTTAAAGATTTTATTTATTTGTCAGAGAGAGAGAGAGCACAAGCAGGGGGAGTGGCAGGCAGAGGGAGACGCAGGCTCCCCACTGAGCAGGGAGCCCGATGTGGGGCTCGATCCCCGGACCCTGGGATCATGACCTGAGCCGAAGGCAGACGCTTAACCGACTGAGCCACCCAGGCATCTCTATACAATATATATTTTAATATTAGCTCCATTAGAAAGCCAGTTGTTTACTCAGTGGGCAACTATTAAAAATTTTTTAAATGCAGTTTTTATTATATGTAGAAACCCAACAATTTTTTTTTTTTTAAAGATTTTATTTATTTATTCATGAGAGAGAGAGAGAGAGAGGCAGAGGGCAGGGAGCCCGATGCGGGACTCGATCCCAGGACCCCGGGATCATGACCTGAGCTGAAGGCAGACGCTTAACCGACTGAGCCACCCAGGCGTCCCCCAACAATTTTTATAGAACAATTGTATTTATGATGAGTTAGAATAAATCAGAAGTTCAGCATAACAAACTTGGCTAAATATGATTTTTGTATTAAAAACATTGGAGGAAAGGGATACCAAAGCATAAGCAAAATTAAAGAATCACATGATAAGGAATTACAGCTATCCCAAGGTTGAGTGTTGAATTTGAATATGCATTAACCGTTCCAAGTTAAGAAAAATGCAATCTCTTGACAAAGCTCTGCTTTTGGAGAGATGGTGAATTCAGTTGTTAAAATATCGCCACTTTTATATATTAAGCAGTATCTTGGAACATCTTTATTGAAGCAGCTCTAAAGCATTTGAAATATTCACCAAGTCATCTTTAGCCTGGAGAATTCAACTCTGTACCTGTCAAATTCCAAACATGTCCCAAGCTCTGCTTACTATTTAACAAGCACTGTCGTGTCTCTGCTGGGTGGCCATCTGAGCTAGGTGCTATGGACTCAGGCACTTTCCTTATGTCAGCTCACTTTAGAGTCTAACAGGGTTAGACAAAAACTGGAAATGAGCAGTGCAGGAGATAAGCCCTCAAGTTCAAATCACTGTGGGCTAAACTAAATGAGGGCCTTTTTATCCACCTTCCTTTTGGTAATTGCTATAAATAAAAATTTAGATTTTTATAATTTCATGTGAAATAGCATATTGATTTAGGTTTTTCAGAAAAGACACTAAAATTAGTGTTCAGTACACTTCACTGCTCAGTTCTCTGAAGGAAAGATTCCTTATATTTATATGGAAAACCATTTTTATTACATTTTGTTTTAACATAAGTAAGGTTTCTATTTCTGTTTCAGAACAACAGTTAAAACAACCACGGAGAAGAAAAATCACCTAGGTAAATTACTTGTTTCAGTGAGAAACCAGTACTCGATACTTATTTTGCTTTTATCCTTTTTTTTTTTTTTGTTAGGGGTGAAAGCATGTCTACAGAGAAAAGCATGTGAACAGGAGGAAAAATATGAGATTCCTGAAGGGCCACAGCGAAGCAGGCTCAACAAGGAACAGCTGGTATTTGTCTTTTGATACTACTTTCATTGGGCTTACTATAACTTAATAGTATCACCATCAGGAAAAACTTCTCTTGCCCATTCAACAAGTACGGGTGACTGATTAAAATTTTAATTGTGCTTGTTTCAAGCACTTGATTCTGAGAGATGATCACAATGAGCAGTAAAACCCAGAGGGTGATAATTTCATGCTGTTAATGGACTGTTGGCATCTTGAACATTCCCATAAACCTTTCAGAATCTGAGGTAAGTCTCAGAATCAGGGAGTAACTTGAAAGAAGACTTATGGCTGCTGCTTGGATTTAGGTCCCATATGTCTTTATTGCCACATATTGTAGTCTTAATGGGTAATATTCCATTATCCTGTGTGCGTATATGTATATATATTGGAAATGACAAAGAAAAATTTGCATAGAAGGCACTTGTGGAACTTTTTTTTCCATAAAGCACAAAGAGGTGTGTTTCATAGCTAACTGGATGCCTAGCCATAGCTTCATAATGTATTGTATGTGTTGTGTTGTGTGTGTCTGGAACCCTGGAGGCCACATTCCCACCGGAGCTGTCCTCGAGAGCGGAGATTCATCACATAGAGGGACCTGAGTAAGGACGGACAGAACTGGGTCAAGATCCACAGAATGACGTTACTTGTATAATTTCATTAAATGTTGCCGGGTATCCCTGAAGCTCAGTTGAGATACCCTAGGAGTTCATGGGTCTTTAAGTCCCACCAAATATGAATAACATTCTGATAAAGGAAGTTTGACGAGAAGTTTCTGTTTGCTTTTTTTAAAAATATGTGTGTTTATCAGAAACATCACACGCAGCACACCCTAACACCTAAAATCTGAGGAGAGTGAAGTTCCTGAGATGGTGGCTGAGTTTTAGGAGAAAGATTGTAACTAGGAAGCCTATAAATATCGAAGTACTTTTCTTGACCCAAATAATGCACTTGAAATACAATTTATCCCAGCACTTCATTTAAGCAGCCTCTTAACAGCTCATGACTACTTATCTTTATTTTCCTCATTCATATGCAGTGTTTTTAAATATTTTGATCTGCTTTTAACAAGCCTTTTCTTGTTATTTCAGTTGCCAAAGCTGTTTGATGGATGCTACTTCTATTTTGGGGGAACCTTCAAACACCATCCAAAGGACAACCTTATTAAGCTTGTCGCTGCAGCTGGGGGCCAGGTCCTTAGTAGAAAGCCCAAGCCAGACAGTGACGTGACTCAGACCATCAATACAGTTGCATACCACGCGAGACCTGATTCCGATCAGCGCTTCTGCACACAGTATATCATCTACGAAGATTTGTCTAATCATCGCCCAGAGAGGGTCCGGCAGGGCAAAGTCTGGATGGCTCCTTCCAGCTGGTTTATTGATTGTGTGATGTCCTTTGAGTTGCTCCCTCTTGACAGCTGAATATTGCACCAGATGAACGTTTCAAATTGAACTCACACTGTTTTGATCATTCACATTTTTATAATAGGTAGACTCGTTCATACATATTTTTTCCTTGAATTAAAAAACAAAACAAAACTTAGGCCAGACTTAGAATTCATTCTCTGTTTACCATTTAGATGCTGAAATTGCTTTGAAGGATTTTTCTTTTTAAAACTGGTGTATGTTTTGATTCATCATGTCTTTTTATTCAAATTATCAGCTATCAAAGATTAATGAGGGAGTACCAGAACTATTGGTTAAATACACAAGCAGTATCATTACTCTCTCAGCCTTTTAATGTTCTTTGATGAAAATAATCTACACTTGCCACCAGCAAAAATACTTCCCATCCTTAGTAAACAAAGAATATTGTCAAATAATTGATTCTGGCTTTATTGTAATAGAGTACCTGGTCTGAATGTACCACCATAGGTGTTAAATTCTTCTGTCTACAATTGTCTTCATCTTACATTGTGTTTAGTTTCTTATAATTTACATGGCTGTTAGTTCCTACGTTTTTATCCCTTCTTTTTATCTTACGTATTCATCAAGAAATCATGATTTAAACCATAGCATTTTTCTTCGGTGGTGAAAAATCAACATTGGACTCATGGTACATATTTTTATTGTATATACTTGCTTATTGTTAGCTATCAATTTGTGACTATGTTTATCTACAGTATATGTACATATACACAGAGCATTTTCTCTAACAAATTTTAGTATCAGTATTCCTTAGAAGGTCTCACCAGATTAGTAAGTTGTCAGTCAGATGTTAATTAAATTAGGGCTAGTCCTTTTTCCAGTAGACCTCGCTACATATTGCTAAAATAATTGTTTTTGAAGGTCTTAATTTCTTCTTTTGTGAAGTTTTTTATTTTTCCATTTTTAGATTGCTGTGGAGGCAGAAGTTGGGAATTATCTGATTAGAAAAGATTTTGTCCAGGTGGTACAAAAGGCCATCACAATAAGTCTAAAGGCAGGAGTGGGAAGGGGCTGTCTCCTAATACAAGACCACAGAGTAGGAGACAGGATGCGGCCTGAGCCTGGGGAGTCCTGGGGAGGTTACTCTGATCGGAGTGTTCTTGTTTGTGAATGAATCGATAAGGTAAATTAGATCATTTTAAAAATATTTGTAAGAAGAATTCTTTAATAAATCTTCCTAGAAACTGAACATACTTCTATGAAAGACATGGGAAGGGAGACACTGAGAGACCTGCCAGGTTTGGTCTCTGTTGGGCTGGAGATTTGTGAAGCATTGGATGAGAATACTGAGAGTCTGAAGTGAACGAACATTAGGAAGACTCATTTATTTGTAAGTGTGAGATTCTGCTGATTATTTCAAAATAAATCTTATTGTAATTCCTTCTTTGACATGTCATGTTTCCATATCAAGAAACACATTATGTAAACACACTGATACACTGGGGACCCTGACCTTCACGGATGAATTAGCCCTGCAACCCTCTCCAGCCAGTCATGTCTTTGTCCCACATTTCATTCTAATGGAGAATGATGAACACCATAGCACCAAGCAAATCTGAGGGGTTAGCTAATGTCTGGATTAAATAATTTAGGACTCTCTGGGATTTCGGTTGTCATTTTTGATTTATAACTGACTTGTGGTCACTCTCTATTGCCTCATCGGTCACATTCCTAGACAGGTTTGTGTCTGTTCCTCTGACTTGAATCCCTGTTTGTAAAACAACTTTGGGGGTTGCTGCCCACTCTCCTTCATTCATTTTCTTGGTTTATCACCCCTCCCTCTTTGTTGTATTCTGTCCCCCACTATTAAGCGGTTTTATTTTTGGTTCCTTTAAATATTTATTTTGACAGCATTTGGTTGATGTTAAGCTCTTGAACCTTGTAATTTCTGTGTAGATATACTTGTCACTGTTTTCATTTGTCCATCACAGATTCAAGCTTCCTTTTTATTGACTATAAATCATTAAAGTTATTTGTGTTTCTGTATTTCTATATCTTCTTATAGTAGTAGTTTACTTATTCTGGGCTGTTGACGAGTGAGACTCAGTAAGACCTGGGAGGAAACCTTTGAGCTAACAAAAGCTTATCTTTTAGAACACTTAACACATTGTGGTTAATTTTGGATAGAAATATTTCTAAACTATAATACTTTATTACCTTAAATAAATGTGTCTGAATACAATGTAATTTTGATAGTTTGGAATCATCATTAAGAGGGTCAGTGATTACACAGTGATTCCTTCATGGATCCATTAAAGCCAGAGGGTCGGCAGCTTGTCCACAGTATCACAGGGCTGCTTGTTACTTCTCTATTTCCTTTTTTTTTTTTTTTTTAATTTTTTTTTAAGATTTTATTTGAATGAAGAGAGTGAGCTAGCCAGGGGAGAGGCAGAGAGAGAGGAGAAGCAGAGTCCCACTGAGCAGGGAGCCTAATGTGGGGCTCAATCCCAGGACCCCGGGATCATGACCTGAGCCAAAGGCAGTCGCTTAACCAACTGAGCCACCCAGGTGCCCCTAATTAATTTTTTTTCTTTTGACTTGCTAAGGAATGAAAACCAGGCAGGAACCATATTAGAATTATGAGTGAAATGAGGATAAATAAGCAGTGTGTGAGGGTTTTGGTGATTTACCTAATAGATACTTAAATTTTTGTAGAAAAGTTTTACCATTTATTCTACCTATTTTGATATCTTTTGAGCCTGCTTTGTGAATTTGGTGATTAAGTGACCTCTGCATAGGTGAAGATTATCTATTGGGAGGTTTGATGTTTCTGTGGGAATAAGAAGATGCAGGGAGGGGTAGTCACATTACACATTAGCGGTAATTACCTCCTTGGGTTGGGGCAGAAAAAGAGCCTGCTGTGATCTGAAGGTTCGTGGACCTCATGACAGCCACAAATGTGTATTCTGTTCTCTAACGAGAACACAAAATGGCGGGAAATCGTGCTTATTTAATAACTATAAGCCATTATTTTGTTGGAACTACAAATTGTGAACTTAATGTATGATCACCTAATAAATGAAAACTAAGCAGTTCTAATTTTTTTGTTGACTAATACATACTGTGGCTACTTAGTTACATACTATTTTATGAATTAAGGATTGTTGATTATGTAGCATTTTAAGGCACATAACAATACTTTTCCTTTATTAGAATAGCAATGTGGGAGAAGTTGAGGAAGGCACTAGACCTTTCTGACTCTGACCTAGCTTAAAAGGTTGATGACTAACTCCCCAGACCTGAAGAGGATTCCTTTGGCCCCAGTGCTCCCGTGGGCCTGTGTAGGTCACCTCCAGAAGGCCAGTAGGCCTATTGTCAGGCTTGGAGATTGAATTATAGATAGGGCAGGCGGGGGGGGGGTGGGGTGGGGCATGACTCCTGTGCAGGGTTTGGATTCAGCTGGACCTGGGTTTGTTTATCATCTCTACTAGTTTCGCTAACTTGTGTTTGCAGTTATAAAGTGAGAAAAATACTCTCCATCTCACATGGGCATAAAGATGGACAAAAGGATTGAGCACCTTGTTTGGGCATTTACAGGATCACCTTCCAAAACCTTGGTGAACAATATGAATAAGAGACTTCTCTAAAAGCAGCTCATTAGAGGTGACTTTTGGTAGCACAACTCATTTAAGTCCTGAATAGTCCTGGCTATTGCCCCCAACCCCTGCTCAACTGCTGCCTGTCCTGTCTTCACTTTGCTGGGCTTTTTTTTTTTTTTTAAATTCAATTAATTAACACATAATGAATTCTTGGTTTCAGAGGTACAGGTCTGTGATTCATCAGTCCTATATAATACCCAGTGCTCATTACATCACATGTGCTCCTAAATGTCCATCCCCCAGGTATCCCAGCCCCCTGCCCCCCTCCCCTCCAGCAACCCTCAGTTTGTTTCCTATGATTAAGAGTCTCTTGTGGTTTGTTCCCTCTCTGGTTTCATCTTCTTTTATTTTTTCCTCTCTTCCCCTATGATCCTCTGTTATTTCTTAAATTCCACATATCAGTGAGATCATTTGATAATTGTCATTCTCTGATTGACTTATTTCACTTAACATAATACCCTCTAGTTCCGTCCATGTTGTTGCAAATGGAAAGATTTCAATTTTTGATGGATGCATAATATTCCATTGTATATGTATACCACATCTTTATCCATTCATCTGTCAGTGGACATCTTGGCTCTTTCCATAGTTTGGCTATTGTGGACATTGCCGCTATAAACATTAGGGTGCAGGTGCCCCTTTGGATCACTACATTTGTATCTTTGGGGTAAATACCCAGTAGTGTAATTGCTGGGTCATAGGGTAGCTCGATTTTCAACTTTTTGAGGAACCTCCATACTGTTTTCCAGAGTGGCTGACCAGCTTGCATTTCCACCAACAGTGTAGGAGGGTTCCCCTTTCTCCACATCCTCGCAAACATCTGTCATTTCCTGACTTGTTCATTTTAGCCATTCTGACTGGTGTGAAGTGGTATCTCATTGAGGTTTTGATTTGTATTTCCCTGATGCCAAGTGATGTTGAGTACTTTTTCATGTGTCTGTTGGCCATTTGAATGTCTTCTTTGCAGAAATGTCTGTTCATGTCTTCTGGCCATTTTTTGATTGGATTATTCTTTGGGTGTTGAGTTTGATAAGTTCTTTATAGATTTTGAATACTAGCCCTTTATCTGATATGTCATTTGCAAATATCTTTCCCCATTCTGTTGGTTGTCGTTTGGTTTTGTTGACTGTTTCCTTTGCTGTTCAAAAGCTTTTTATCTTGGTGAAGTACCAATAGTTCATTTTTGCCCTTGCTTCCCTTGTCTTTGGAGACGTGTTTAGCAAGAAGTTCTTGTGGCCAAGTTTGAAGAGGATGCTGCCTGAGTTTTCCTCAAGGATTTTGATGGATTCCTGTCTCACATTTAGGTCTTTCATCCATTTTGAGTCTATTTTTGTATGTGGTGTAAGGAAATGGTCCAGTTTCATTCTACATAAATAAAAGGAAGGACAAGAACCATATGATCCTCTCAATAGATGCAGAAAAAGCATTTGACAAAGTA